GGGGGGGGGGGGGGATGGAAACGAGTGGGACCTAATATTGACCCTCAGACCCATCCCTGCAGGGAGGAAAGCTTTCTGCTGTCAGTGAGAAGGTGCAGAGCATCCTTTAGAGGAGGAGGGGATGGGCAGCTTGCAGGTCTGCTTCAGGGCAGGCAGAGCTGAGCCGTTGGCTGCTCCTGGAGGCTTTGCTCACGTGCATGCTCCCCCGCCTCCCATCCTGACAAATGGCTGCTCTCCTGCCCAAAATAGCCCTTGTGTGCTGCCAGCTTTTGGCTGCGTCCTTTGGTCCACTTGGAGGGTCCCCAGCTCCCACCTGTCCCAGCGCTGTGAGCTCACAGGGGTTTGGCCACAGCATGGGGCTGGCTGTGCCCAGCAGGGGTTTGGCAGGGCTGAACTGAGCTGCTGGGGAAGAAAGCTGGGAGCTTTGGAGGATGGACCCTAAGGTCCCCGGTGGAGCTGAGCTGGCAGGAGGAAGCTCTTGGTTTGAAGACTTCAGACTTTTCTCAGGTTATGCCACCCTGTGTTGGTAGCACTACGAAGAAGTGCTGCACTGAGCAGGATTAGCACAGCATTCCTGGGGCAAAGGGTGCAAGTTAATAACCAGTGCTGGGGAGTGCCAGTTCCTGGAAAAGCTGTTTGAACAGCTTGTGGGGCTGTGCTGACTGCAGCAGGAAAGCACCGGTACCATCCAGCCAGGCTTACAGCCCTGACACAGGGGAAAAAAGGAGTGGTGAATGAGTGGGGCTGGCAGCAGGAAGAGTGATCCCTGAGCAGGCTGTGTCATCAGCCTCTCTCCCTCCTGCACTGCATGGAGAGCTTCCAGTTTGCCCTCTGTTTGCAGAGTCCTCGCACCTGTGCTAGGCTGGGCTGGGCTCCTTTGAGTTGCCTGTAGTGAGTCTGGTTGTGAGGGGATGCTGTCAGCCTGAGGGAAGCAGAGAGCTGTGGCTCTGCCAGCCCCACAGTTACACTCTGCTTCTCCCAGGATCCCACTGACATTTGTCCTCTCTTGGTGTGATGTGCAGTGCTTCAGCTGCGTGCTGAGCACCCTTAAATACATGGGACTGGCCATGCAGGGCAGGCACGTGGGTGAATGACAGACAGATGGGGCTGGAGGCTGTCACAGAGCTGTTCTTGTCTCCTTGCCCCCGCCGCCTCCCTGCCCTGCTGCTGTCTGACCGCTCGTCTCCTCCTCTGTAGGATCATCAAAACCGTGGTCAAGTCCTTCAAGTATTTCTTCGGCCTGAGGTTTGAGGTGAAAGGACTGGAGAACTTTGAGGTGGAAGGCCCTGCCATCATTGTGTCCAACCACCAGAGCATCCTCGATATGATGGGTGAGGAGCAGCCCGAGGGGGGAAGCGTTTCTCTTGGTCACCCTGTGGGAGGTCCTGCTGGCATCCCCTGCCCTGGCACTGCTCTGCACTCCCGAGGCTGCTGGTTTGGTGCTGGTCACAGGAAAAGGCCTCCCCTCATGCTGAGCAATCCTCCCCCTCTCCCTGTTCCCATCCAAGTGCAGGCGCTTGGGGAGGGGGTGGCTGCTGGGTCTCACCCTCTGCCATCACGTTAGGGCTGATGGAGGTCCTGCCCGACGGCTGTGTCCAGGTGGGCAAGAAGGAGCTGATGTATGCCGGCACGGTGGGACTCATCACCTACCTCGGGGGTGTCATCTTCATCAACAGGAAGAGCACCACCAGCGCCAAGATGGTGATGGCAGAGGTGGCCAAGACTATGATAGCTGATAACGTGAGTGGCATTGTGGCATTGCCTGGGGGGGTGACATGGCAGTGCTGGTGGAAGGGAATGCTGCGGGAGGGTTGCTGGAGCAGAGCCTTATCTCCTGCGTGCAGGTGAAGGTGTGGGTGTACCCTGAGGGCACGAGGAACTGCACGGGGGATTTGCTGCCATTCAAGAAAGGAGCGTTTCATCTCGCTGTCCAGGCACAGGTAACAGTGCTTTGTTTCCCAAAGGGTCCTCCCCAAACATGAGCTTTTGCAATGGCATTGCAGACTGGCCCTGCTGTGGTGTGGTTTGTTTGTTCCCAGGTGAGGCTCATAGCTCACAGCTGTGCTCCTCAGCTCAACCACCCTTAGGTGTCCTAAGTGCTGCCCAGAGAGAGTAGAACACCTCTTTTTTTCTCCTTCAGCAGGCACCACACCAAGAGTTTGCCTCAGGGATCCCACAGCTGGCAATTAATTTCTTAATCCCCCATGTAGCAATAGCAGAGTGCTGATTTCACTTTACTGATGTTAGTGCTAAAGAGCATCACCTGGGCTTGCTCTTGGTGGAAGCAGCAGCCTCTTCCCAGACTGCCACAGGGGCTGCTCTGTGCTGTGTTAGATGCCTTCTCTGCTCACTATGGCAGAGTCAATGGGGGAGCAACAAACAGCTCCTGGCTCTGGAAAACTGGAGTTGTTGGTGCTCCTGAAGGAGCAGCAGAGTCCAGCTGTGGCCAAGGGGGATTGCTGCCAGCTGGGATACCTGCTCTGTTCTCTGGTGCCAAAGGAAGGTGCATGCTGTGCCTCAGCCTGCAGTGCGTGCTCTGCCTCCGTTTTTGGGACCAGAATCATTGGAGACCCGGGGGGAAATGTCCTCCTTGCACAGAGCGTTGCAGCAGGGATCCTGGAGGAGGGAGCGGGTGCCAACCTCCTCCTGGGCTTGGCAGGGCCTGAAGGGCAGGACAGCAGAGATGTTGCCCACCTCTGCTCACACTGCTGCCGCTCCCCATGAGTCACCAACTGCAAATCACGTCTGTGTTACCAGCGCCGAAATAACGTGACTCTGGGCCTGCCCTCCTGGCTCTGTCTCTGCCTGCCTGAGCCTTTCTGGGTGCACCGATTGCAGTTGGTGACACCCTCTCGGAAGCTGAAGGCACGGTGGCTGCCCTGCCCCAGCTATGTGCTCGTGCAGCACAGGAAAGCCTGTCGAAACAGGCAGCCTCGGTGTGTGCAGGTCAGGAACAGCTCAGCCTGGCCCAGGAGGAGCCGAGCTGAGCTCTGCAAGCAGTGCTGACCTGAGGCTGAAGTGTCAGCTGGCCCCAGTGCCTCGAATGTTCCAGTGCAATTACTCTTTTTCCTCCCCAAGGTCCCGGTGATCCCTGTGGTGTATTCCTCCTTCACCACTTTCTACAACCCGAAGAAGAATCTGTTTACATCAGGTATGAAAGAGCCTTCATAGCCTCTCAGAGATGGAGTGATACTGTGTGTGCGTGGGGGTGTGGGAGGGAGGCTGAGCTGAGCAGATGCATGGAGGCAGTTCAAAGCACTTGGCACCAGAGCTGGGCTGGATTAACTCGGGGAAGAATGTAATTAAACGTCCCAAGGGGTGTTTTCATTAAGAACTAGGTGCCACCTCTCCCTCTCATAGCTGGCACAGCCCAAGTCGTTTGGAGAGGGATTGTGTTTGGGGGAAGAAGCAAGCATGGTCTGAATTCTGGCCTTTGCACAGGGGTCCCTGCTGTGAAGTTGTGTTAAAACTCTTAAATCTATCAGTGTAAGTGCTGGGCAGCAGGCTGGCTTTCAGCCAGCGTGAATTGGTAATGTTGGGAGCAAGCCTTCCCTCTGCCTGCTGGCTGGAGGTAGGAGGGTTGGGCAGGAGCAGATGGATGGAGCACCTGGTGCTGAGCTGTGTGTGCTCACCTCAGCCCTGCAGAGCTCAGAGTGGGAGCAGCCTCTAATGTCCCCAGATCAGGGTATGGGAAATGCTTTGCTCCTTGGAGCAGCTATTTGGAGCTGGGAGTAATTTTCAGAGAATCTCTTCCCCTGAGGGCAGCACAACCTCTGCTTGCAGGGGCAGATGCCTGCAGGGATGGGTACCTGGGGGGCTGCAATGGGCCTGTCCATGGCAGGTGTTCTGTAAGGGCAGAAAGCAGTGCTCCTGTGTAGGGAGGTTTCTCACAGGCTCCTCTTGTGCTTCCAGGCAAAATCAAGGTCGAGGTTCTCCCGCCAATAGAAACCAAAGGGCTGACATCAGACAACGTCTCTGACCTCACTGACAGATGCTACAACCTCATGAGGGAGACCCTTTTCAGGCTGTCGGGCCGCCCAGGCGAGGGGAAGGATTCCTCCTAGGTGCTGCTCCAGCGGCGTCACCGTGTGGCGGTGGCCAAAGGGACCCATCTGCTGCCAAACACCAAAGGAGCATCTCTTCCTCTGCAGTGACTTGGAACTCTGGGGATGCTGTGGACTGGCACACGAGGCGTGTCGAGCCAGCAGTGAGGCTCCCTGTTGAGTGGATTTCTCTTAAGGGTTCATTATCTTGCAATGAAATGTCTCCTCTTTCTGTATTTCTCAGGCAACAAATGTATGCTACCAAAGGGCTCAGTGACCAGAGAGGTGAGTTGTCCAGCTCAGGCAGCTGCTGTGGGGCAGCAAGGAGGGCCTGGTAGGAGGTTGGGCTCTGCCCCATGTGAATATCCCTGTTTTCCTGCTGGCTGTTAGGTGCTGCCCCAGATGGAAAGCCAGCAGGAAGCAGCGTGTCCCTGCACAACCTTGATGCTGAGAATTGGGTGAAAATCCAAACTCTGGCTGTCCAGCAGCACAGCCCTGTGCTCAGTGCTGTGCCAGCAACGTGCTTCTGCCAGCATCCCCTGGCGGAGCAGAGCACTGAGGCTTTTTCCTGAGAGATGCCCTTGGATCTCAGTAGCATCTGGTGCTGGGGCTCTGCATTGCCCAGGTGTTCTCGAGCCAAGCCTTCCCCTTTGAGGAAAGCTCCCAGGGCCAATAACTGAGCTGAAAAGGGGAATGCATGGGGCCAGTCAGCCTTGAGCCTTTCATAAAGCCCAGTTTCTCATTAGAACAAGTGCTCTCTCTCATTGAGGAGTGCAACAGTACAGAGGGAAGCTGTGGTCTCACCGAGGCAGTGCATGCTGCCTGGGTGGGTTTGGCTGTGCTGTTTGACCTCCTTGCAGCGATTATCCTGGTGCCTGGGGTGTTTGGTGCAGATGCAGAGAGCTCTGTCACGCTCATCTTGTCATGGTCAGCACTGGCCGAAAGATGGTGCCTGTCCCATGTCTCTCTGTGCTGATCTCAGCGGAGCTGCTCCTCTGCAGGAGCTGCAAAACTTGTGGGGAGCCTACAGGGTGCGTGAGCTGAGTCTGTCATGGGGAGAGCTTCAGTTTTCCCCTTGAGGAAATAGGCTCCATCCCTTTTAGAGGAGTTTGGATAAAGGGTTTTCCCAGCTCTGGGATGGCAGATGGGCAGTGCTCCTGGATCCCTTGCTTTGCTCTCTGCGAAGAGCAGGGCTGGCTCAGGTCTGTGATTCCTGGGCTCAGGGAGGCTTGAGCACTCTTGCTAATGCAGCAGGGAGCACCATGAGATGAGCCTCAGTGCAGCACAGCCAGCTTCTGGAGCCTGTCTGTGGCTGCATTGCTCTGAGTGGACTCGCAGGGCATTCTGAGGGCTAAATCCTCACCTGGGCAAGGCACAGCCAGCAGTCCCCAAGGCAGAGAGCCCTTGGGCTGACTTGCTATGGGGCTGGGGGTTTATCCTAGGGTCTTTATGGTACAGTCTCAGGGGTCAGACCTACCAAGGGAATGGGTCAGGGTGGGAGGATGGAAACCCAACCAGCACTTTTGTAAGAATGGCAGAAAAATGGCTGTTATGGAGGTGAAACCCAGGAAGATTACAGGAGTGCTCTGTGGAGCAACTCGTGCAGCACCTGGGAGAAAGAAGCAATGCCTCTGTGTGCATGTGTCTACTGTTCAGTTTTAATTGGGTTAAGAATAATGTATTTTGCTTAAAGAGGAAAAAAAAAAGTATGTCTTTAATTATTTAAATGAAGGAGACTCTTGGTTTTGTGTGGGAGCTGAGGGAGGAGGACTGCTGTGGGAGGAAGAGCCCATAGCAAAGTGGGGCCATGGAGGGAGCTCCATCCTTTCAGTAATGAGCCTGCAGCCTCTGTGCACAGTAGGAGGCTTTTAGTTTAACTCTTTATTTTAGTATAACTCTGCAGCATGGCTGTACCCACAGGGCTCCTCCTGCAACTGTGGCTGTAGCCAAGCATTGTACCGCATTGTTCACGTCTGCTCTGCTACACCTGCAACCTTGGCTTGAACAAACAGAGCTAGGGAGGTTGGTGTGAACTGCCAAAGCAGCAACGGTTGGGTGGGGGAAAACAGCCACCTTGACAGTTGGTGCTGTGCCAGTGCAAACAAGTGGGCTTTGTCTGGACTCCGTCTGCAGAGCAGGTGTGCAGGGGACTTGGCCTCACCCTGTTGGCACAGCTGAGTGATGCAGGTTTGTCCCTGTCTGCTCTGTGCTGATGATGGGAGTGTCACAGGGAAAGGTTTTGCATTAAAGCAATAAAACCGGGCTCTATGCCTTCAGGCCTGTGTAAAAGCATTATGATTACTGCCCTAAAGGGCTAAAGAAAAGGCAAACAAAACCAAGCACCACATGAATTCGTGTGGAGCCAATCTCTGGCACAGCCAGACAGGCACTGTTAATGGCATGAGGTAAGGCATTTATTTTCTGCCTCTCCAGCAGGAATGGGGTGAGATGCTCAGGGTTAAAAGTCCAGTTTGGAAGTAACTTCATGACGTTTGATAAGGTGAGCTGGAAGAAAAAATACTGGGAATCTGATGGGAAACCAGCCTTCTCATTCTACCCTGTGTCTTCCTGGAGATGATGTGTCTTTGGCCCCAGACTGGGGCTAGAGAGAGAGACAAGTACAGATACAGTCTGCCTGTTCTGATTCTTTGGGTGCTCTTTTAGAGTTCATTCTTGCAGGAACCTGGAAAGATTAAAATAAAAAAAAAAAAAGTAAATAATCCAGCACTGTTGTTAGCCAGGGTTTGGTGTGGTGGTGGGGGCTGGCACCTCCAACCAACATAGCGATGGGCATAGAAGAGCAGGTTCTCTGTGCTGGCTGTAACCACCTCCCCTGTCTTCTCACATGCTAAATAATCTCACTGTCTCTTTCCCCTAGAAAGATGAGTTTGACCTCAGAACCTATAAATGTCATCTACTTCTACTGTTTTTCCTTTGCCAAACAGCTCCCTGCTGGTTCCATCCTGCTGGCTCTGAGCCTGGTAAGCCTATGCATAGCACCTCAAGGCAGGGAAGGCACTGAAAAGAATGCCAGCTGGGACTGGGCTGTCCTGACCACAGCTGCAGCTGATGCTCTGCACTCACTGCAGTACAACAGAACAGTCTTGTATCCTCCAGGGACTTCCAAGAACATGGGAGGGACAAAGGCAAGTTTTGCCTGCTGGAACAGGCTTGGCAGAAGCTAAATACAGGACTTTGGAGTCATCCCTTGGAACAAATCCATGTTACCTTGTGATGCTGCTCCCATTCCTCAGTGCTGTCACTAATAATAAGCATAGGGCAATGCTAGGAAGCCTGGTCTACTGAGACACTTGTAGGTTTTCATAATTACCCCTTTCTGAGTTTTTCTTTAAGCGTCAATTTGCAGCTTCAAGCAAGGTCTTTGAAGTTTTTAATACCTAAGTCATTAGCACAAGCAGTGAACTGGGACTGGGTATGCCCTGAAACCTCCCTGTCCCTTCCTCTTACCAGGCAGTGTAATCCCTGTGCCTTTAGCACGAGGCTGCTGCCACTCAGTGTCTGCTATTTAAGGCACCTCTGTGGCGCACTGCGTGACAAAGTACTGCTCTACAGACTTCAAAAAGAAACATGCTTAAAACTTCCCAGGCTCATAAATCTGCCAACTTGGGCACGCTCCCTAAACTTTCCTGATTGACTTTTTGGACTGTTAAGTTTCTTAAGACTTGAGGCTCTTCTTTTCATCCTGGACTAAGTTACGGTGCTACAGGGAGGGGGGAGAGCTGGTGAGGGTGCTGTGAGATGTGCCCCACTGCTCAAGGCAGTCTCCCTCTGCTTCTGCCCAAGAGCCCTGTTTCCGTGTGCCTCTCTTACTCTGGCTGCTATGAGCGCAATCAGATGGTGCAGCCAAACAGACAGCTTTGGAATGAAGCTAATGGGTTGTTTGCATTCATCTTTTATTAATTACAGGCTGCTGAGTTTGAGGGAAGATCAAGATTAATAGTGATGTATGTGTTACTGATCTTGCTGGCTTGCATCTGCTCTCCACAGCCAAGGTCTGTGGCACAAACAGCCCCAAGCAAAGCTGTGGCACTGAGGTCTGAGGCTGTGTCAGTGGTGTTTGAAAGTGTGGGGGGGAAAATAGGGAGAGGTGCAGTGCAATGCTTCACCCCCTCGGTTTTGCAGGCACTTACATGTCTCCAGCCGCTCCTCCAGGAAGGAGATCTGCTCGCTCAAGGAGTCAATTCTGTCCAGTTGCTGAAGGGAGTGGGACAGTCGGCTGATGGGGTCTGTGTCAACGTCCTCTGGTGCAGATGGCATGAGGTTGTGGAAGGGAGCCAGCACCAATTGGAGTTTCTGTAGGGAGAAGAGGAGCCACAAGCAGTCAGGAGGCGCCTCAGCACCGCGTTTGGTTGCATTCAAAGGGCCGCTGAGCTGGAAGAGCTGCTGTGAGGCTCTGCTTTGCAGCATGGAGCCCAGCTGGGATCCTTGCCTGCTCCCTGCCTGCGTGAGGTCAGCATGGTGTTAAAAATAGAGCAGGGGTGGAGGGAAACCCTGGCTGTGCACAGCCCAGGCTTGGAGCTGGCTGCACGTGGCCACAGGCAGGGGAGGAAGGGGCAGATGGGGACACCAAACACCCACCTGCTCCAGAGCTTCCACTCTGTTCTTCAGGTCTTTCATTTCTTCCTTCATTTCACTGGAGGGATCTGAAAAAAAGGACCGAGATGGGTTAGCTAGTAAATATCTGTTGCCTGAGGTGAAGTGGGATGTGCTGGGCTCAGGGTAAGCACTGCTGCTTGGTGCTCCCCTCCTAGGGAATCTCAGGGTTCAGGAACTGGATGCAATGCCCACTGCAAGCACAGAATAAATGAGGGAGTATCTCAGGCTGTGGGGTGATGCTTAAAGGACAAAATATCCTTTCATGCCTTTGCTGTCAACAGATGAGTTAGCACCCATGTCTTCCCTGTCCCATGGTGAGCTCTGCTGCAGACCCAGGACAAAAGCAGGTGCTGTTTGGGATGCATGTAGATGGCTCTCCCAGGTGTTGCCCACATGATGCCAGTGCTGACCACAGCGCATTATTACTCACGGTACGAGTTTGAAGTGTCACAGCGCGTACCAAAAGTAATAATGGGCCGTCACCAGCAGCTCCTGATGCTCCTTGTGGCTCTGGATGGATCTGCCCCTTAGGAAGGATGACGATGATGACGGAGAGCACAGCCGCAGTCCTGACCACCACGCACCACAGCCAGGCTTTGTCACCCCTGCATGGCCTGGGCTTGTGCACGAGGCAGGTTTTGTTCCATCTCCTCGCTCTTG